GGACAGAAAGACAGGAAATTAAAAACCAAGAAAACAAAACAAAGTTCTTAAAAAATAAAATGTAGGTAGATTTATCCCACTACATGTTTGTACCTGTATGAAGCAACCATTTATCAGCATGTAGTATTTATACAGCAGATACAATTCAGATCATCTTCAAAACTCCGTCCCATGCCCAGGGGCGTATCTAAGCATTTTGGGGGCCCAGGCAAATAGACCCCTGCCAGGTATTTTAAGTTGAAGTGCTATCTGTTTTTATATTAGACTTTTTATATTTGCAATAAAGTCCAAAAGTGAAGAATTTATGTTATTTATTACTTGATTGTTCAAGCTAACTCACAGACGTGATCTGTTGTTAAAAATTAAAATAAAAAGGTAATTAAATAAAAAATAAGGAACATTCTGGAGCTGTTTCTTCCTTTTCTTATTTTATTTTATTTTATTTTATTTTATGTATCAAAAGTGCCGGAACGGTACTCGGTATCGGCAGATTCTCCTAATCAAACGAGTCGGACTCGGGGGCAAAAAAACCTGATTGGGACATCCCTACTAAAAATAATCCTGAAGGGCTGAGATTAAATCTGATCTGTCGCGGTATTGCAGATAAACACCAAGGCATGCCTATCGAGTAACAGGAACCTTGTCTAGAGCGGTGAACGAATCATCAGCTGGGGTGAAACCACAGAGTCACACAAAACAAAACGTGTGTCTGTTCTCGTATCTGTAAATAGTTTTAGTTTCAAACGGAGGTTAAAATCTCAAATCCTCTTTCTGAACAATTAATGTGGCCGAGCAGCAACATCAGGCACTTTGGAAGCAGGCAAGGCAAACACACTAAGCGCGCACACACACATACACACAACAATGGTGTGTGTGTGTGTGTGTAAAGATCAGATTTCCATCATGTTTGTTTTTTTAGGATAAGGCATGTGAGAACAAAGACAGCATTTTGCCGCCTCGTAGCCGTCTGCTGAAACCAGGAATCTCTGGAAACTGTTTGGGGGTTTTGTGAGTGGCTTCAGCTTGAACACCAAAAGTTGACTCCAATCGCTCTAATTACAGATTGTTAATGAGTGATCTAATCTGCGCAATGGCTGGTTGATGAAAACAAACATTGAGACAAAAAACAGAAACCAACCGCCCCGACCGGAGACCCGTGAGCGTGCACGTGGAGGAAACACAATAAAATCTGCTGATGTGTGGCAATTAAACTAATAAAAACCCAAATCTGTGCAGATCCACAGGTGAAGAACTCCCATCACGACTTGCATCCCACCAGATATGGAATGAGTGAAAACAATGGAGGGATTGTTTGCCCTTCAATACGTGCCACCATGTGCACGGCCAAAACTATGCAAACATTCACTTGTTTAGCTTTAGTGGGACAGAAACAAGACAAGGAAAACAATGGCCAAACGTCTTTGTTTCAGAATCCCAAAAGCTGCCTATCTGCATTCACGGGATCACACTTGCTGCTCAACACTGAAACCCACCTTGTCGTAAAAGAATAAAGGACATTATTACTATAAAAGGCTGGAGGTACTGTAGCATTCTTGTGTCCACGAAATACTTTTTACTGATTTAGTCTCTTTCTCTGCAGCCATGCTGCCTCTGCCTGGAAATATCTGCATGTTTCTGCCCCCTGAGGACGGCTGTAAACTGGGCCTAGCAAAACCGAAGGGCACATGGGGGTATTATTTCCTGATGACCCAAAATAGACAGCCAAACCAGCCTTCAGTGAATTATCAAAAACAATTTTGAGCAGATTTAAAATTTTTGCTGAATTTTTATCAGAAAAGACAAAAAAGGTTGAAAATTCTCTCAAAACTCCGGTTTTCCCTAAGGTGATGCGATTGATTCCTCATGCAGGCGCCACAAGAGCCCAAGCAGGTAATCACAAAGCATTCTGAAAAGAGAACGGGTCTTTTCTTGTTCTGTAAGTTGCCTGATCTAAAAGCTCTATCACGGTGAATTTCTATCACACAAAAAGAATTGACCAGAGACGAGATAAAAGCCTTCGAAGCCCCGAGACATCTCAACTCACTTAAAACGTCAATAGTGTCACGCCGAAAAGATGCCTGCATCGGAAAAAAAAATCTATATTAATACTTTACCAATCAGTTAATTTCATTAAGGCATTCAATGCCATTTACTGATGGGATAGCAAATTGTGTGCAAACAAAGCAAAGGTCAGAAATGTGTTGTTGGACCGAGTGACAGATTGCACCTGAGCGAAAGAAAAAAATAAATAGACCAACGCTGATTAGCTCTGATAAAAAGAAATAACTTTTGACAGGACTTGAATGTTTTTTTTTTTTTTTTGTAATCTGGGTCTGTCTCTTCTGGACCTGTTTATGTCCAACAGGAATGCATCACGACTTACGGTTTCTTTAAGCAGCTGTGAGTGAGTGTGTGTGTGTGTGTGTGTGGGGGGGGGGGGGGCATTTATGACCCCATTCAAAGGCTGACATCTCAAACACAGGAAGGAAGGAACTTAAGAAGTGCCCTACAATATAAAGAGGGCTGTTTTTAAACTCCTGCTAGCTCCAGCGCTAAAGAGACTACTGATCTGAGTCTGATGGCGGAGTAAAGGCCTTCAACTCTCTGAGTTAGTTAGCAAATTATGCCACTGGATGGATTCTCAGGAAGCAACCAGAGCTCCACAGCCAGTAAACTAGTAGAGTCAGCCCTAATCAAGATGGCCACCGTGGCTCATAGACAATAACAAATAAGAACAGCCAAAACTCAGGCTATTCTAGACATTAAAGGTGTGGTTAACCCGTTTATTCAATACATTTGCAGTAGTGTCAATCAATGCCTTATGAGTCATTAAAATAAATCTATGATGCTCCTTTTCTGAGGTGCAGAGGTTTGCTGAAAACAGCAGGGTTGCTTAATATTCTTAATGATGTTTATGTTTATTTATTTGGCAGACGCTTTTATCCAAAGCGACGTAGTTTATAACCTATAGGGCATGTTGTGATCTGTGGGGGAAACCGGAGTACCCGGAGGAAACCCACGCATGCACGGGGAGAACATGCAACTCCACGCAGAAAGGCCGCAGCCGAGTTTCGAACCTGTAACCTTCATGCTGCGAGGCAACAGTGCTAACCACTGCGCCACCATGATATGCACACACCTCGCTTCTGATTGGCCGTACACTGCACAACTCTTTTGAGCTGATTTTCCCCTCGTGCAAGAATCTACGAGATCGGGGCGAGTTTTGCTCTGAGCGCCATGCGGTATACGGGGGGGGGGGGGGGGGGGGGGGGGGTTTACGAGAGGCGATTAACACCGTGCGACCAGCTACCGGTCAGCAATCATAAGCTCTCATGAATTTCTGGCGTGTTTGATTTTTTTGCTCGTTCCTCGTGATGGTATCACACTATTGAATTGGCGCTGCACGCAGCTGCGACCCAAACAGTACCAGAACCGCTCACGGCGCACGTAACGGTTGCCAGTTATTTCTCTGTTAACACGTTGTTTATTTATGCACTTTCCTTCCACACACAATGACAAGGATCGTCAAGAAAGCATGTTTATGTCAAATTAAACTGATAAAACATTGATTTAAATTCTTTCTTTTGTCTCAACCCCCATGGATCGTGTGTGTCCTCCTCCTACAGCAACCCCGAAGGACAACAGACATCAATAACACAATAAGACGTCCTACGTGTTGTGCTAAAACTATATGAAAAAATAATAGATTACAGGTAAACACACAAAAGGCTGTGAGCTGTTACTGTAACCTTCAACCACTAAAAACAACAAATAATAAAGAACTTTGGTTTCCAGAACTGTGCAGCATGAGGGACATACTAATGTACACCCAGTATTGCACAAAAATGTTAGCACATTTGTTTTTACGCAATATAAAAACCCAAACTCTTGGTTCTGACAGAACTTGGGCCGAGTCATGTGAGGCGCCATTTGTAAAGTCAAAGAGTCACAATTTAACAGCAGAATTTTTGGGTTATTTAGCGTATCATACGGGGAAAACATTCATATTCATACATTTACAAACTAAATATTTAGCTTTAAATTAAATACTTAATAAATATTTAGATCACAGCTAAATATTTATTTTTGAGTTAGTTTATAGCTTGCAAAATATTTAGGTTTAGCCCCTAAATTAACATTTAGTTGACATCTGAGTATTAATTTTGGGAAATAAATATTTAATTTGAAGCTAAATACTTAGTTTGTAAAGAATTAGCTCCAAAATAAATATTTTGTTAGTGAATTAAATATTTGACAAAATAAATATTAAGGTTTGACCTAAATATTTATTTTGTAAAATAAATATTTAACTCTAAATTGGTTATTTAGCTTGCTAACAAAATATTTAGTTGGAAAATGTAACATTTATAAATTTATGAATAATAGTGACTGAAAAATGAACTCCCATTGTTTCTCTCATGATAGGTTAAATAACCCCAAATACGTTACAAATGGCACCCCCATAGGGTCATGCCCCCTAGGCCTCTCTCCCTGGGCCAGAACCCAGTCCATCTCCCACTCACATAATACCACTGAATGTGGAAGTTTGGTTCTAACTATTGGATCGTGTTCTTTATTATCCAAAACCCAAAACGATGGAGCTTTGGAAAATAAAACGCCAATTAATAAACACACTAAAGCGAAACCCTCCCCAGGCTGTCTCCGAGCTCTTGCTGGATATTATGCCATATGTGCTTACTGGGATTCTCTCAAAAGGTCAAGACTTTTTAATAAATGCAGAACCACAAAAGAATCACAATTTCCTCTTTGAAAGACCAGCTAGCTCCCAGGTCAGCGCTCAAAGCAGACAAACATCTTCATCATCAAGCAACTTCATGTTTGTGATCAGGCCGAGCCTGAAAACGCTTCTGCAGATCCATTAGTGCCGAGACAAGAGACAGAAATCAATGGCGAGCCATTTGCAGACTCCTATTCAGGTGCAGCATCCTCTCAGCACATCCTGAGTGCTGAAGTCCACGGGTGTAAAAACAACCCGAATAAAAGGGACCAACAAGCCAAACAGGCACTTTATTGGAAAATCTATTGGAACAACTTGGCTTTTAGAAACCAGGACCTTGACAAGTGAAATAACCTTATTTACAAATGACATTTGGTTGGAAGATTTAGAGCAGAGGAGAAAAAAATTCTGTTCAAAAAGAGCAAAAAATTAAGAAAAATGCTTTTTCAGTTCACTTCCTGTGACTCTGCTGCCACCTAGTGACCGGATGATTGACCAGCGTTCTGGATTTAGTTTTTCTGCTGGTTTTTGTCACAAATGCCCCTGAAAGCTAGTATAAAACAAGATGTAGCTGAATGTTGAATGCAAACAAAACCGTGAATGAAAATGTCCAAAATAATGAGTTATTTAGAGATTTACTACAGAAGCACAACAACAAAAAGCTCCAAATATGTAAAAACAAAATGAAGATAACACATCAGATGGTGCTTTCATTAACATATAGTTATAAGATTTTTAGTGATATGCCAAGAAATCTGGTCCTTCCTGCTGGGACTGACTCCTGGATGCACCAGACGACAGCAACACGCTACCATCCAGCCCGATCACACAGAAGCCTCTGTGGTTTCCTCTGAAATCCACACGAGCTTACGGACAACCATGGCTAGGTGAACCTACAGCTGAGTGTGTGAGTCTGTGTAAAGTGTGAGCGGGGACAGCTGCTGCGGTTGGGTGGACACTACGAGGGGGACGCTGTGGACGACAACATTCTGACTGACGTCTGGAATCATGAATCCACCGTCCTGACCTGATAAGTCAGGCTTTGACCCGGCTGAGGTGGGTTGAGCCGATCCAGTCAAGAGAGCGGAGTTCCCTTTTGTCACCACTTTGACTTCGGCACCACCCTCATGGATCAGGGCGTTGAGGCCCTCCACTTCAGAGCAGGTACCGACCAAAGCCTGCGTACTGCTGCTGCAGTCGTGGACAGAAATGGCGGTTTGCAGCAGGGCCTGATGGAGCGGGTTGCTGTCTGAGCCAAGCTGGGTCAACAGGACGGTCTGGGGTTCTGTGGGTGTCTGGCAGGACCTGACAGGATGTGCGGGTGTCAGCAGGCTGACTTGTTGGATCATAGAGTTAACTACCAAGTCCTGGTTTTCTGGGCTGAGCAGGGCGACACCGGTCTTACCGGTACCATCCAGCCCTGCAGGGATTACTGGGTTCTGTTGGCCCAGAGGATGGGACACGATGATTTTGAGCTGTGGGTTTCCAAAAGGAGCCACTGATGGAGACGGGACAGGAAGCAGCTGAGCACTGCTCTGTGACGGGGAGACCGGAGGTACGGAGGTGGGGAGCTGCAGCATACTCTGAGTATCTTGGTGTTGCTTCTTGTGACTGCGTAGCGAATCCTCCCGGACAAACGAAGCATCACACAAGTCACAGCAGAAGGCCCGGGCGGCGTCTAGTTTGGCCCTGTACCGAGAGCAAGCGGGTTTAGGAGCGTCGCCTCCTGAACTCTTCCCACTGCCTCTGTCGGGCTTTACCCCGCCGCCCCTCTCAGGTTTTTCAGAGTGGCACTTCTTCTTGTGGATGACCAGGTTGCTAAGCCGCCTGGAGGCGAAGCTGCAGAAGTCACACTTGAAGGGGCGCTCTTCGGAGTGGATCCGCTCGTGAACCCTGAGCGCTCCCTTGCTGGAGCAGGAGTACGCACACTTGGAACACTGGAGCGGCTGGGCAGGCTGGTGCTGCCTGGAGTGCTGCCGCAGAACCGTCCTGCTGGCACACTTAAAGTCACACAGCTGGCACTGGAAGGAGTTCTCAGGGCCGTGTTTGATCTGAATGTGAGACTTGAGGTTCCCCTTCATGGCGCACCGGTACTCACAGAAGTCACACTTGTAGGGTTTCTCACCCGAGTGAATGCGGAGGTGCCTCTTCAGGTCCGAGTTGATTTTAAACTTTGCATCACACTGCTGGCACTGGAAAGGTGCATCTCCTGGAAAAAGACCCAGAAAAACAGATGAAAGTTTCACAGCTGACACCCAGACTATAAAAGAGAACGTCTGACGAGCTACCAGTGTGCGAGCGGAGGTGCACCGTGAGCTGGCTAGAGTTGCGGCTGGCGTACGGACAGATCTGGCATTTGAACGGACGCTCGTCGTAGTGGATGCGGAGGTGCTTCTTCAGACTGCTGCTGTCTGCTGCTGCGTACGAGCAGTGTTTACACTTGTGTGGCTTCTCGCCTGTGTGCGAGCGGCTGTGCATGTTCAGCTTGTCACGTCGGCTGAAGCGCTTGTGGCACAACTCACATTCAAATGGCTTCTCACCTGAAAAGAAGAAAACAGTACGACTGGTTAGGGGTTTTACATGTCAAACTCAACGACAGCAGGCAAAAACAGCCAGCTGTACTGTGCTAATATCTGTAAAACCACACGTTCCAGAGAGCGTTAGGTAAGGTGGTGCTGTCAAAAGACCAGCAGCTCCTCTTGTCACCAATCAGAGCTGTACGTATCAGATCTGCTCTTGCGCTTCTCCAAAATCCAATTCAAGCACTTTCAAGGTGAGTTTTCAAGATTTTCTAGCATCTATGAATGGTGATCACGTTAACTATTCCTCCTCGTAGATCTTTATTTTATTGTGTTGCAACCAATTCTAGATGACGTTTCAAGCAGTTATTGAAAATTCAATTGAAGTGGAGCAAGTTTTGAACTTTGGCCTTCCATACTTCCTGCAGTGTTTGACATCATCTCACCGGTGTGAGTTTTAAGGTGGCGATCCATGTCTTTTTGTCCATATTGTGTCTTGAAGGTACAACCTGCAGGTGAGGAGAAACAACAGTGAAAGGTGAGAAGGAGCAGACCGGATCTGATGAAGTAAAGCAGTCAGAAACCGACCTGAAAAACAACACGAGTGTCTTTTAGAAGCCACGGCTGGTTTCAACTTTTTACAAGGTGTTTTCTGAGATTTGGTCAAAGTCTTCTTCACACTTCTCACAACGCAGGTCTGGTAGGTGTCCTCGCCCACAACGAACCCCGGGCTAGAGTCTGGAAGAAGAAAAACGTAACTCAGGACGAGTGAACTAAAATGAGTGGGACAGAAAGAAAAACAGGAGCTGTGTAACCTGTGAAAGCTGTTGTCACGGCGCTCGTGGCAGTGTTCGGGTTGGGAAAGGAACAGCCGTTTTGTTTGTGGGCAAGAAAAACCTCAAAGTTGTTGTATTGTTGTTTGCAGAAGCCGCAGATGTGGATGTCTGGACTCACCTCCACCACAACACAATGGCCTGCATCGGTCAGAGGGCAAAACACACAGCAACATTACAATTTAAATACGTTTAGCGTGTACTTTAGTCAAACAAACACACAACTAGCATTCACGCTACGTATAGTGTCAGTAGTAAATGTTTTACTTGACCTTCGTCGTTAAATGTTGCCATTTTCTCCACTTTGCTAAGGCTCAACTCATTTCTCGGCAGCTACGTGTGAACACGGCACTTATTTAGTTGTAATATTAAACAATCAAAAACGAGAATACAGATAACGGAATAAAAAAGCATTTTAAAAGCGTAAACTTTAAAATAGCTGTGGTTTCACCGATGAAAATCACTATTTACGTAGAGATGTTTTACGACTACTGTCTAAAATTTGCGACATTACGTTTCTACTTTACGTTTCGTGCTGCTTTCAAAGCTGTCGGGAATTTGTAACACGAGAAGGGACGGATCCTCTTTCTGCCGCTTTGATCAGAATACTTTTTAAATAATTAAAACGCATTTGAAAACAAATATGGCAACTTTTGGGATGGACTCAGCAGGATTAAACGTATTTAAGCATAATGAGACGAAAAGAACTAAATGATTGAATTGATGAACTGATGTTTGCCAGATATTCTTCACACGTTTTGGTTTTAACATATTTTATAGATTTCACATATAAATGGAATTACATGAAGACACCTTTATACAGAATTTGGCTAAACAAAAGATTTACTGCGTTAATCAATTCTGTTGTTTACTAAAAGTCCAAATGTTTTTATGTCCAGGGCTGCCAACAGTCTTGGAGTAAGATTTTAGTTATTGGAAATTCTCTCTCTCTCTCTCTCTCTCTCTCTCTCTCTCTCTCTCTCTCTCTCTCTCTCTCTCTCTCTCTCTCTCTCTCTCTCCTCTCTCTCTCTCTCTCTCTCTCTCTCTCTCTCTCTCTCTCTCTCTCTCTCTCTCTCTCTCTCTCTCTCTCAACATGAAATAACAAATAGTTACAGTAAACCGCAAAAGTGCATAAGCTGCAGCGTTTACAATGGGGACGGAAAAATGACAAAGCTATGATGAAAACTAGAAGCATAACCACAGAAAATATTTTCTTTTTATATTTTTGAGCTGCACAACAAATTCACCCAAAGGAATCGGATCATTTAAGACCCTACTGAGGTGATTTCAGGTTTGTGGTTCAGAGTAGCAGGAGGCTGTTGTGCCCAGTGCAGCACGGACTGATGGCACAGAGACGGAGGCTCAACAGAAACATTTTCAGCAGCTTTTTATCAAATAGTTTGTTTATTATTACTGGAGTCTTCTTCTGACTGCTTTTTCACTAATAACAGTAAAGCTACAAGCTTTGGTTCTTCTACTCTCCTCTGGTGCAAGACCAAACTATCCACGGGCCTCTCACTAAAAACGAGCCTCTTCCTGTTTTTTACTGGTGAACATGTTTGACATGACTTGATTTTTAAGACTTCTTTGGTATTGAACCAAGAAGTTCTGTAACACAATCTGAATTCCTTTAGTACCAACTTGCTGTTTCATAAATAGGGTTTAATTGTGTTTTTAGCTAAATAATAGGAGTCAAAGACCTTTAGAGCAAGTTCTCCTGTTGAAAACGCCAAAAATGGACAAGAAGAGTTTTTACTATTAACTTTATAAACGTTGATCACGTTTCTCTTTCTCCTTCTGGCAATTCACCATCTCCCATTCTCATCTACAAGGTTTGACTGAGTGTAGCTGCAGCTGAGCACCACTGGAGGGCGCTAACACCCCTCATTCATAGTCTGTAGCACCATGGC